CCAGGTAAGTGACTTTGGGCCAATCACAAGGAGACAAGTTCTAGTCCCGCCTTAGGCACGAAAGCCAGGTAACAGTGACTTTGGGGCAATCACAAGGAGACAGTGAGTTCTCAAGTTGTTTATAAAAATAATAACAGCAGGAATAAAAAACAAAATAAATAAAATAAATAAATAATTTTAAAAATTAGATAAAAATACCTGATTTAAATGGACTCTGCGTACTGACAAGATTTGGGCAGAAAAGAAATAGAACAAGGACAGGTGTAGAACTGATTTAAAAAGTTCTCACTCCTCTCATTTTTCTAAGCTAACTCTTAACTTCTTAGACCGGGCTTCTGCTCTTGTGAAACCAGGATTCACTTCTCGTAAAATCGCACCCAGCTCAATCTGGATTTGGAAAAGGGTAGTTTTCCACCCTTTTAAGCTGGTAATCAGCTCTGATCTCCCTTATTATTATTATTATTATTATTTTTAGGAGTCCATGATCAACCAGGAGCCGATAAAATGCCTGGCACAGTTCAAGAGAAGAGCCTTATTATCGATATGTTTATTTGGCTTACTCTAAACTTTAAAACTTGTGAACTTCAGCTTCTAGAATTTTGCTGGCTGGGAGAATTCTGGGAGTTGAAGTCCACACGTCTTAAAAATTGCCAGGTTTGGAGACCCTTCTGCCCTAAACCACAATCACACACAGGCAAACAATAGATACAAGCTCAAAGTTAAGTTCAAAACATTCTCAAAGATCCATCTCATCCTGGGAAACTTTTTTTGAATTATTACCATCTGGCAGACGGTACAGAATAATGAAAACAAGGACAAATAGGCTGAAAAACAGGTTCTATCCCAGGGCAGGAGCTCTTTTGAATTCTGCTGTATAGTGCTGTGTCGAGGGTTTTTGGTTCAATGTGTGGAGGGTGAAGGATGTGTGTTTGTGTTTATTTTCATGGTCATGATGTGCACTGAAGATAGTGTTTGATTTCGTTGTACTAGGTGCAATGACAATAAAGTAAAGTAAAGTAAACTCTCTCCAAACTCGATTGCGGGAAATATGATTTCAGCAACAGAGTGGTGAACGCCAAGAACTCACTCCCTGACTCTGTTGTTACATCCTCAAACCTCCCAAAACTGTTAACCCTACACTGTCTATTGTGGACCTCACCCCATTCCTAAGAAGTCTGTAAGGGGGCGCGCATATGCGCACACCAGCGTGTCTACTGTTCCTGTCCTACTGTTCCCATTTATTCATTACTCATTTCTTATGTATAGACTTACACCTGTTTACATTTATATGTTTATATGTTATGTTCATACTTATACTTGCTTTTTCACACAACAAATAAATAAACAAAAGATGTCCAGGGTTAAATAACAACCAGAGTAAAACATACCACATCATAACAATTTCAAATAATTATCCATCGACCGTCTTCCTCCATTTGATCACCTCGCTAACATTAGCCTGCCACTAATTTGTGCAAAAATGGGACTTTTAATTTCAATTCAGAACAGAGCTAGAAGGGCCCTTGGAGATCTTTTGGTCCACCCATTCAAGCAGGAGATCTTAATAGTTATTTACTAATATCTCTTTTTCCAATGGAACAGAAGTTGCCTTCGGAAGTTGTGGGAGCTTCACCACTGGAGCCTTTCAAGAAGAGACTGGACTGCCATCTGTCGGAAATGGTGTAGGGTCTCCTGCTCGGGCGGGGGGGGGGGGGTTGGACTAGATGACCTACAAGGTCCCTTCCAACTCTGATTATCTGTTATCTGTCCCATTTTATGACCTTTCTGTTACTCTGTTTTTACCAACAAGGATTCTGTAGTTAGTTGGGATTTTTTGAGCCGTGGAAAAATCCTTTATCGACTTCCCCTCCTCTGCCTTTCAAAACATTTTAATCCATCCTTTCCCTTGTGTTTTTTTTTTTTTCACAATTAGAGAATCTGATTTTAAAAAAAAAAAGAACATTGGGTTCTTTTTCATTTATGAAAATCAGAAGCTCCATTGTTTTCTTTCTACCAATCACATTTCATTCAAAAGCAAACCACTCTCTGAAGCTGCACAGGTGGCTCCGTCAGAGGCCACGAATTCAAGAGCTAATATTTGAATTTTTTTTAAGAAAAGGTGAATTTCCTGATTTGGGCGTCATGCTTCTCCTTTCCTATATATGAATGAAGGAAGTCAAGGCATACTCACAATTTTTTCCCCTCAAGTTTGGTCTTTGGGCTGCAGTAAAAGCCAGAAAGCCGATTTGAGAAAGATGCAATTGGCTCACCCAATTTTTTACCAGGGACTTTTCCCTAGGAAAAACCGAACAGGTCCCCTTGCCTTCTAGAGACGAGATCAATGTGTCTAGTAGATGCTGGTTTTGTTTGGGGTTTTTAAAGCTACCCGGATGCTATCAGGAAGTAACAAGCTGAAAATCCAGATATGCTGCAACATTGGACAGTGGCAGGAACTCCAGGGCTGGTTGCAAGCCAACACAAGATTATAGGTTGAAATTTCTTTCTATCTTATCTTTAGATAGAAATTACTTTCTATATTATCTTTAATTGCCATCCAAGCCCCAAATAGTGAAAATCAAGAGTATAAAAAACAATTGAGACATGTACTAGCAAGTTGAGGGTGCTGGGTTTTCATAAAGTAAAGCCAAAAAGAGGTCAACAAAGCAATGTTTTTTTTAAAAAAAAAAAACCCTCACAAACTCCACTGCAATCCACACCGAAGAGGATATAAATTTTAACGCCTTTTTCAAGAAGGCTTGATGAAAAAAAACCTTTTCAGCGCCTCCTTCTTGCTCCTTAAAATGGAAACATTTCACCTTAAAAGAATTCGTAAAAGTCACTGGGTATATAAGTTTTCTCATAAATAATTCTGAATTGATTTCAACAGAAAATCAGAAAAAGGGCATCGCGCTACAGGGGATTTCTGCATTATTTTTCTATTTTCAAATGCTTCCAAAAGAATTCTCCATCGTTGAAAAGTCGCTGGCTTAGAAACCAGGAGACGGTGAGTTCTAGTCCCAGCTAAAGTGTGAAACCTGCGTGGGTGACATTGATCCAATCACAAGGAGACGGTGAATTCTAGTCCCAGCTTAACCCTGAGAGCCAATTGGGTGACTTTGAGCCAGTCACTCATTCTTAGCCCAACCGACCTCACAGGGTTATTGTGAGGAAAGTAGGACGACAAAGGTGTATTATGTATGTTCCCCATCTTGAGTTACTTATAAAAGTAATAAAAAGGCGGGATAAAAATAAAATAAAATAAATAAAATGAGTTCAGCTGAAGGCAGTGGTCTTTCCGAAAAATAAATCTATGCCTTTTGGATTCTTCTTTGCTTGTATGCTTTTCAAGCTGTGGATTGCTGGCCACAATAATGGGTTGTTTTATGACCCACAAAATATCTGGCATGAGATTATTATATTATTAAATCATCATCATCATTTTGTAAATAACTCAAGACCTGGTTATATCACCAGGCCTGGGAATTTGAGAGTACCAGAGAGATTCTCCATTAAGGCTGATCCCTTTTACTCTCTCCCTACAGTTTCTGTATTTTAAATTTGTTGTTCATTTGTTAACTTGAGTTTTTAAGTGTTTTTATGTTTGCTTTTATATTGTATATTGATTGAAAGTTATACTCTGCCGAGTATGGGCGGCCAGATAAGTCTGATCAATAGATAAATCATAGATAAATAATTTAGCTTTTCATGTCCTGTAGCAGAACGGTCAAGTTCACATTGCATACTAAAATGATTTTGGCTTAGGGTGATGTTTTTAAATACTCTGTAGTGTGATTGTGATGTGGTGTTTGGGGCACTGTGCTGGAGTAGCTTTCAAATTTCATTGTATTTGTGAATGCAATGACAATAAAGATATTCTATTAACAACGGCTGTGATTCCCTTAACCAACCGTGTCGAGATAGGTTGTAAAAATGGGGCCAAAAACTCCCTTAACCAATTTCTCACTTAGCAACATCAATTTTGGGCTCAATTCGAGTCGTAAGTCAAGGAATACCTGTATCTCCTCTACTCTCCAAACCTGAGGTTTCCTTGTGGTGCCCCATCCAAGCTTATTTTGGGCGGGGTGGGAGGGGAGGAACATGGCATCTAGCTAAGCATCTGGGGGAAACAGCCCTCGACCTTTCGCACTGGATCCTCTATTTCCTCTGCCAATCCCACTCACCCCCTTTCGGGCATCTTCCCTAGCATTAAAGACAGGCAAGGGATCTTCGAGGTCATCCAGCCCAGCCCAACGCGAGACTCTTCCTCATCATCCTTTCAAGAAGAGGTTGGACTGCCATTTGTCCGTCTATGGTGTAGGGTCTCCTGCTTGGGCGGGGTGGGGGTTGGACTAGATGACCTACAAGGTCCCTTCCAATTCATCTGTTAAATCCCGCATCAGCCTCCTTACCCCCAGCGCGGGCATCCTCCTCTCCCGATCCGGATTCCTCGCCCAATTTCGGGGCCAGCTCCCCCGAAACCGCTCCGCACCTCATCTGCAGCTTTGCCAGGATGCCACCCCTTCCGGGCCGGCCTCCGAAGGCGAAGTCCGAGCGTGGCGTCCAGATGTTCCGACATCCGCTTTGGCACGGAAGGAGGAGAGAGCATCCGAGCCGGCGGCCGGGAGAGCAGGGCGGGCAGGCTCGATCGGGGGTCGGGGTGGTCTGCAAACCCCGCGCAGACGGTGCCATGCCAGCCACCCGGTGGGCACACACAGGGCGAGGGGGCATACCGGGGGCATCTATCCGGTCCTTGCTAGCCGCTGAAACCAGGCTCGGAGGATCGCAGCTTGCTTTCCAGATCCTCATGCCTTTCTTACACCTCACCCGGCTTTTTACCCCCGCCCCCCGCCCCTAGAATTCAGGTTCGATGCCCAGGCCCGGCGAGGAAGGACAGAGCGGAGAGGCGGCTCTGCTTCAAGATTTGCACCCGGCCGGCCGTGCAACGGCTTCTCCCGGCTGCAAAAGAAAAAAAAGGGGGGAAGGGACCCATCATCCCCACTCCGGGACCCTTGCACGCTCACTCACCCATGGCAAAGCAGCAGCGGCGCCCATGCCCGAAGCGGCCCCGGGAAATGCGAAAGCGGGTTGGCAAAAGGCGCAAGGGGTGGGGTGGGGGGAAGCCCTCTGGTGGCCTCGAAGGGAACTGCAAGGAGGCAGCGGAAAGGAAGCGCAGGAGGCGCCGAGTTTCTGATTCAGCGCCTCCCGCTTCGCCCACAAGCAGAGGTTACTGAACTACAGTTCCCAGCATTCCTCGCCTTGAGCCGCGCTGGGTGGAAGCTGCTGAGAGTTGTAGCTCTGGAGTTATGGGTTGACTTGATTGATTGATTGATTGACTGACTTAAGCTACCAAAGATCTCTGCCTTTATATATCATTAATCAATTTAGCCCTTGCAC